AGCGAAGGACCTGAATTTTTAGCAAATGACTCTCATTTTTAGCAAAGAACCTGAATTTTTAGCAAAGAACCTGAATTTTTAGCAAAGGACCCTCATTTTTAGCAAAAAGAACCTGAATTTTTAGCAAAGGACCCTCATTTTTAACACAGGGCCTAATTTAGGACCTTATTTAACGGATTAAACGGCCACGGGGATGCCCGTTTTGGGGTGCCACCGGCCGTAACCCTCTCGTTGCCGCCGGCAGGAGGGAGCCTGCACGAAGCTGGACGAGGACATCCTGGACATCCCCTTGGACGATCCCGACGCCAACGCGGCGGCCGCCAAGATCCAGGCTAGTTTCCGTGGCCATATGACCCGCAAGAAGATCAAAGGGGGTGAGATCGATCGGAAAACCAAGGACGCCGAGTGCGCCAACAGCACCCGCGGCGGCGACCTCCGCAACGGCGACTAGGTACCCCCCCGAAATCTCCCTTAAACTCCCCCCCCCTGCCAAAAGCGGGTCGTTTTTTTACAAGGATGCTGCTCCGAGCATCCTTCCCCGCGCCGATTCGGGATGGAGAAGGGATTTTTCTTCCCAGGAGGTGAAAGCACGCGGGCAGGCAGCAGGCAGGCAGCCCCTGCCTGCCCTAATTTTGGGAGCGCGCCGTAGTAGTTAGCATGGGAAGGCGAAGCCCTAGATTTGAATTGAATTTCTCCCTTAGCAACACCACCCCGAACGCCTCGCCTCAGCACATGCTATTTTTAAAAGCCTGTGTCACAGTCTCCTGGCAGGAAAAGGTAAATTTAAAAAGCGCCCACGGTGCCGAGGCCGCGTGGCATCGCCACCGGGAGGTGGTTGTGCCGTGCTCCGTTGCCGTGCCGTGCCGGCATGGCGAGCGGGGAACGGCCCCGGCTACGGGGAGGTTGGTTTGGGGTTAGCGGCGGGGAGGTCTTGCTGCCGGCCACGTGTGTGTGGCTGGGCTGGTGCGGGATGCAACTGGGATGCAGTGGGGACGTGGTGCGGATGCAGGGGGGATATGATGGGGATGCAATAGGGATGCAGTGAGGACGCAGCAGGGGTTCAGTGGGAATGCAAGGGGGATGAACTGAGGATGCAATGGGGATGCAAGAGGAATGAACTGAGGATGCAGTGGGGATAGAGTGGGGATGCAACGGGGATGAACTGGGGATGCAGTGGGGATACAGTGAGGATGCAGTGGGGATGCAACAGGGATGAACTGGGGATGCAGTGGGGATACAGTGAGGATGCAGTGGGGATGAACTGAGGATGAAGTGAGGATGCAGTGGGGATACAGTGGGAATGCAGTGAGGGTGCACTGGGGATGCAACGGAGAGGCAGTGGGGATGCAACAGGTCTGCAGCAGGGATTCAGGGAGGACGCAGTGGGGATGCAATGGGGATTCAGTGGGGATGCGGTGGGGATACAGTGGCGTTGCAGTGGGGATGCAATTGGGACGCAGTGGGGATTCAGTGAGGATGCTGTGGGGATGCAACGGGGACGCAGCTGCCAATTGCAGTGGCTGCAAAGCTCGTTAGGGCTGCCTCGTTAGGTGGGCTGAGCAGGCTTGCACCCTGGCTATGGGCTCCAGCCCCAGGTGAGCTGGGTTCACCCCTGTACACCCCACTGGGGTCCTTTGCCCCGGGGGGCCAGGCTGGGTGTCCCCCCACCCCGGGCTCCTGGGTGAGGGCAGGTTGCAGGCAGGACAAGGGTGCAAGGAGCAGGGCACAGGCAAGGTGCAGGCAGGTTGTGGGCGGGCTGCAAGTAGGGCATGGGCAGGGTGCGGGCAGGGTGTGGGCAGGGCAGGGGACGGGGAGGGCATGGAGAGGGTGCAAGCTGCAGGAGCGGGGCGTGGGCAGGGTGCAAAGAGGGCATGGGCAGGGTGCCGGCAGGGAGGGGACGGGCATGGAGAGGGTGCAGGATGCAGCAGCAGGCTGCAGGAGCAGGGCATGGAGAGGGTGTGGGCAGGGTGCAGACAGGGTGTGGGCAGAGTGCAGCAGCAGGATGCAGGCAGGGTGCAGGCAGGGCGCAGGTTGCAGCAGC